GTTGCACTAAAAATCGTTTTGGCGAATCGTCCCTATATGTAAGTCATGAATGGAATGAATGGAATGCAATCTAATCACGCGCGTTTGGACCTTCTATCACGTGAAACTTACACAAATCACAGTGATCGAGCTCTAAAGCACTCTCTTACATTTGATTATTACTAGTGTTCGGTGGGGAACTATTGAACATCTTCTCAACAGGACACAAAGAAGAAAGAGCCTGGGAACTAGGGATAAAATCCACCGCGGTCAAAACCATGCAAAACGCCTGACGACGCCTGACGGCTGTCTTCTTTTGCTTTATGTGGTGAGATTGGGCAAGGACTGCGAAATTAGTTATTGTAACTGTCTCTGCATTCTTCTCAAAACAGTGGGCTTCTTTTTTCCGAAAATAATGTTCCGTCCCGGTTTAGTATTATGACAAATGGTACCGACAGTAACACCACTAGTTTCAGTTTTCAGATTTTTTTTTTCAGTAAACTTTCAAAAAGTTTAGAAAATTCAACGTCGTATGTTTGATTTATTTTGAAGTACTTTGCTCAGCTCTAGCTACTTTCTTTTGTTTGACCGCAGTCAGGAAGATAAAACCGCGCCGTGTAGTAAAGCACCTTTAAGTTTTGACTTCAGATCTTTAGCGAGTTCAGATGACAGCCATCAAAGAAGGGTCGACGTAAAGCGAAGATACTCTTGCACCGCTCGAGAACGACAACGTTAGGCACAAATAGAGGCTGTGTACAATACAAGCTGACACAATTTTTGTTAGATGTAAACACGGTAGGTTGTGAAACGCTTCTGCGTTCGTGATGTAAAAGTGAAACTGATCAGTGAACAATGCTACATTTTGCAAGATAAGACGGGGGGCGAAAAGAAGATGAAATGCATGATCTGCCGAGATTTTTCGGTCTTTCGTTACCCTACAACTTTCTAATCTGATTTTTACAAAATAAATAAATAAAGCCCATCTAAAATAACAGTGAAAGCGAACGAATTTAGAGAAAGGTCATCTAGATAACTGGAATTGGAAGGCAACATACTAACACAACAAATGAACTTGTGACTACAGTTAGTCAGAAAATCAAAGGTAAGGTTTTGAAAAAAATATTAAAAACAAAATATGGCTTTTACGTGATTTATAACATAAACAATGACGCAAAAAAGCCTTGAACATGCATTTGTGAGAGCAATTATTTGCCTTACAGGGCTTTCTTAGGCCTTTTTTCGAAAGATAAATTTCACTGAGTAGGTCTTTTGGTATGAAATACTGTCCAAGCATGCCCCTTGCATGTTGGCCAATTATGAATTACAAGCTTAACTTCAGAAGTTAGCTGTGTAGGGTGACTACTCCTTAACCGGAGTTATGGTTTTTTCTCTTTTGACACCCTTAATTTTTAGGCCGGAAACTAGAAGTCATACCTTTCAACATTATTTCATTTCGAGTTTCTTAGGAAGCTTGTTCTACACTTGAATCTTCTCAAAAAGTATAGAAAGAAAATCCAGTACTCCAGTCTAAAGATGGCCGGATGAGAGAGTTGAATACGAGACGTTTTTGAAAAAAAAGATAAGAAACAATGTAAAAAGGCTCCACACATGACGAAATGCTTCTTACAACTGCAAAGCTTTTTGTTATTAGCATAAAATGGAGAAAAACATTTACGTACTAGAATATCCGTGACGGATGGTAGCAGACCAGAGGGACAATAAAAAGAAAATAACATTCAACAAGTCCATGGATTCAGGAGATCTGCGGGTTATCTGCCTTGTTGACGCACCGGTCGGCTGTATTAGTTGTGATTTTTTGCTGCTCTCTCTCAGAAGTATCATTTATTGTTGACCTTTAAAGTTTGTTTCATACTCCACGTCGTCATTAAAGCATCGAATTGCAACTCGACACGGCGTATTTATATTAGTTGAAAATGAACATTACAAATTTTTGTCTTATTTTCCGTTTGGCTACAGGTACAAATGTAATGTCTCTTCCTTCCTTGCTAGTACAAATACTCATTAGACTGGCGTGCTTGTTATATATAACAGCTCGCTGCACAGCAGCAACTTACGAAGACGAGAGTATTCTTAATGTCAGTAATGTTTAGTCACGATCTTTAATAGGTTACAAGTGTTTGGGCACTTCTCCCTCCTTCCCCCTCCACCGCTAGCACTGATTTCTTTTTGTCTCTCCGCTGACGTAAGATAACTAAGATTGTTGGCTACTGTGCTTGCAGAGCTCTTTCATTGCTTGGCCTGAAAAAAGTATTGCAAATATTAAGGTATTTATGTCCTGTATTGTAAGTAGCTTAACAATTAAAAGTAAACAAAACCGTTCATCTTTTGAGAAATGTAATTAAGAGCCAGTTTATTGATAATCATCATTTTCTAGGGGCTTAACTGATGGAATTGGGTTGGTCTGCAAGGTCTGCAGTCGACTCGACTCACACCCAGTCCCAACTCTCTACCCAGGTCATAGCATCCGATCGTAATTATATTACAAAGTAAATAATGTTCCACGCAATAGATAGAATACCCTCATGTTCCGACTCGTGCGATTTATTTTTTTTGCTAATTTTTCTTTTTAATCCACAGCTTAACACTGCCAGCTTTGCTAAAATAAACATCACTGGACTTTGTTTTATTCACCCCATAGAAATCACGCTCATTGGCTAAATCAGAAGGAAATTGATCAGGGTACCCTCCTCATTCACACGCCACTGCATTCGTTATTATTATTATCATTATTATTTTTTCATCCTTTATAAAAAAAGACTTTTCCTTTCCTTTCAAGCTGAAAAGCGTGAAATAACGAAACGCATTAATTAACCGGCTTATACCTTGATATGGGATCTAACGATAAGCTGTTGAATGGCCTAAAATAGGCAAGTTTCGTATTCCCTGACGGTCCTGGGACGAGAAACTTCTCACTGCATGATCGTGGCTAAATGCGGGTCAACGTCTTTGCGAAAACAAAAACAAACATAAGTAGATTGCGGCTGAGTCACTGAAAAATGATAGTAAGATTTCAAAGCTTAAACTCTACCAGTAAGCCAAAGGGATATCTGTTTCAAACAAAAAAACTTTGGGAAGAGCTGATCGTACAAAGAAAGGAAAAAGCCACGAAGCCAAAAGAAGGGTAAAGTTTGTTATTCCCTTCCATTACCGTTCTTCTTGTTATTATATTTTGATATTATAATATAAGCTAAATGTATAAATAAACTCTACCTTTTGAGTCATCTTCATTCAAACCGATTTAACTCCCTCGCAGTGCAAGGAATGCATGCATGCAGAACGTTTGTCCTGTCCTAAAAGAGTTTTACCCACTGAATGTAATTCTCCCTCTGACCATTCTCACACTGACATGCAGTTATCTTACTAGAGAAAATTCATTCTTTACGTGACTCAGTCCGTAAGGCGAGAGAGTCACATTTGATAGATAAGGCCATGATTCTTGAACCTAATGGCCTAAACTGCCATGACGAATTATTGTAATCCATATCCTTATTAGTTTTTCTTTTCGTTTTTTTTTATATGTACGTCATTTCCGGCTCTCTCTCACCCAATTTTTATTGCGACATTCTCCATCTAAATAATAATATTGTAATTCCTATCATAAATTCAGTAACATCTGTAAAACCTGATGGAGGCTGGTATGGCCAGTTGAAATATTGTTATTAAAAAGCAATATACGTTGTTATGATAAGCTTTGCAGTAGTCTTTGTACTTCTCGTTTTTTGGTAACGTACAAGATTTTGCATTCGCTCCGTAAGAAAAAATGTCAACTGAAAGGAAGGTTTCAGCTTAACTTGCAGGCTTTCGACAAGTACGTCCACCCCAATGGCTTTAGGACGTTTTAACGATTACTGAAAATAACATAAAGGCAGTTTTCTCATGTTTGTTAGTCTATGTGGTAAGAAGTGACCCGCATTAGCCTCGCTTTCACGCAAAAACAACCTCTCGTCCTAGGCCGCTCGGGAATACGAAATGCCACAAAAAATACTTCACCTTTGACGATAACGAATGGTCACTTGATTTCGAGGTCTTGACCGTTCATTCAGTACCCGCTGCTGGGCGTCATCAAGCGATGGTGCAGATTCACTGTGCTGGACTGTCAGTGCAGCAGGACTGTTGGAAGCACCTTGCAGCGGGGTTGTGATCAGATTAAAGCCTAATCGACTCATGATTGGTGGATGTGGCGTGCATGCTGAAGGCTGTTCCCAGCGCGGTTCGCTGTGGTAAAAACCGGCTGCTATCAAGAGATACTGAGCTCATTCTCTCTTGCTGCTATATTGTCCAGTGGTGGGCATTCTTAGTTCCACCATCCCATTCAATTAGGCTGATTATATCTTTTATCTGGATACTGGTTTTGTTTACCCTAATAGCTGTAATAGAGTAACCATGAATGTCTCAGCCAATAAATTACTCAGGTAATCTTCGTAATAGTTCCCACCTCCTGCCGGGTGAAGGGACCGACGTCCACAACACAACTACGATTTCCTAATGCGATGTTTTATGGAGGACGTAAACACACGACGACGAGTTTTCCATTCTCTTCTAGTCCGTTTTGAACATGAATACACTTCTCAAGCATTTTCCCACCTCTCTAAAAATTGCTGCATATTTGACAGTGTGAACAAAGCTAAATAAAAAAAACGTAGATTCACTTTTTTCTTTGACGTTTTCACTGCCTTCGTCTTCATGCATGATTGCTTAAGCTCCCCAACTTCTAGTCTGTGGTAGCCTTCAAGCAAGCTAGCTCTTTGGAGCGCTCTGTTAACGGAGAGCGGCCCGGAGAGCTTGTTAGGAGGCTTATTATAGAGATGGATACGTTACGGATCCGTCAGTCCCGTCACGAATCGCTCCCGGTCATAAACGTCACGTCATTATTTTTATTACCAAATTGGACCCTCATCACGGATGCTTTCCCTTTGTATTGATCTATTGATGTCGATAGACTAGTTTACGTGAGACAAAAGCGGTTTTACTTTCCACACCAATTTGTCTGGTTGATAAACATGTCTGCGTGTGGAATGTTTCTTGCTTTAATTACGATGATCTTGTCGACTTTCAGGATACTGGCGATACTAGCAAATCCTGCAGGTATGCGGACTGAAAATATCATAGCACAAATACTAAAGTCAACAACAGAGCGCTGAACAAGACGGTGCTCGTAAAAGCATTAGACCCTTCCACCGCTTTTTTACTAGCTAGGAAATATTCATTTATACTCATGAAAAGGGCGCCTTGAAATTGGAATACTTGCCAGGTTTTAAAGTTATCGTGCGATTTTAAAAAGCTCCAAGACGTCACGAAATTCTACAGAGTGGAGGAATTAGGTCCAATACCAATGAAACGTATCGTCTGAAAATTTTTCTCTTTTGCGGACTCAATTTCATCGTTAGTTTCCAACATATCACTGATAAACTTGGTAGATGTGCTGACTTTAATGTGTCTATGGTTTTCGCAAACTGGTCCTTACCAATAGTTGCAAACATATAGATCATAGCGTCAACCGGGGCAGATCTGCAGCGATTACAATTCACTTCACTGATTACTGAGCCGATCATTCTCTTTCATTCTCTTTCCTTTGTTTTTCGAAGACAATGAAATGATTTAGGTTCAAACCAGTGGAGAGCCGAAACGGAAGAAATTTCCATTGCAAAACAGGCCCCAACTCGAGTTTAAGATAACCCTTAAACTTTCAAGTATCGATTCCATATCCGCTACGGAAGTGTATCATCGAACATTTTAGGCAGGAAAATATGATTGAAGGTTGACGAGGTTAAGTCAAGTATTCACCATTCCTGGAGCTTTTGCGACGCCTGATGCCCAAACGGCATATTCTATCACATTGCTGCTAACACAAATCTTAAAAATGAAACTACTCAATCAAATGAAACGAGTCACAAAAGAAGTGAAACGAGTTTTACTCAATCAAAAGTAACGATTTCTCATAGTCAAATAAAATCAGCCGATCAAGTGAGACGCGTCATTGTACTCGTTGGCCATTATGCACAATGACCCATTGTGCACACGCACATACCAGTTAGAGTGGTTTTCGTTTGAGTGTCGTAAAACCAAAACCAAAGTAATTACTCTGGCCAATCACATAGGACACAGACAATACATTGAACCAATCAAAACTCGAAGTAATTACATGTGGCTGACGCAAAGCGCGGGAAAATGCATGCGAGCGCGTCACAATTGGCTTTGGTTTTACTTCTGATTGGATGAAAAGGTCGCGCGAATCTTTTAAGCCAATCGCATCGTGTAGAAAGTGCAAAACCAATTACTTTTCGACACTCAAATGAAAACCGCTCTAAGCGGAGTCATTGCACTCGCACTCCGACCCACTGCGGTCACAAAGCAAATATACTGAGTCGGTGTACTCGGTGGCCATTGCGTCAAACAAATGTTGTTGTACCAAACACAGTTACCTTCGTCGTTGACCTAGAAAACTGAGCTGCATTAGAGAGACCTAACGCAACGCACTATAGTACGATTACTGCTAGTTATATATAGACAAGAGTGTTTAGGTACCATTTTTCTCTCTTACTCCCAGCACAAACTTTATCGCGAACTTCTGTAGATCAGTTGCAGGAATTTCTTAAAGTTCTCCCCTTTCGTCTTCACTTGTAAGGAACTCTTTGAATAATTTTGAGTCATACAAAGCTTTCCTCTGCGTATAAACATTCTCTTGCTCCTCAGAGAAAGATTTTATGTCAGCTTCAGATAACTTCACGAATCTAATCGTTCTCCATTTTCTCTTAGCATTTGGCAAACTGTGCACAAACAACATACAGTTTGAGCGGAAAATGAAGTCATGGATATCCTCACTAGCGAAGACAAGGAAATTATCTCTTCTAAAGTCCCGGAAGTAGTTTCGTATGAACTTTACGAATGGCCTATTTTCCGCTAAAACACTCTTGTCTATATGTAATTAATTGCACTACCTTTTTCGCATTTTTTAATCCGTAATTTGCAACAGGGAAGATTTAAAAAAAAATTGCTGAATTTATTTTTATCCATAGTTTCTTTGTCTTCTTCAGTGTTCTTTTCATTGATCCTTGAAGGCTGGTTTTCACTAGCAACGGAGTCGGAATCGTAATCAGAAGCTTAGAACTTTACGATTTTAGTGATCTAACAGCCAGTTCTGATTGCGCTTACGACTGTGGTTTTACAGGATCAAGAGAAGAGTCGCAAACAGAGGCGGAAGAACTAAAACAATCACAAAGCATGGAATGTGCATTGTGATTGGTTTATCCTTCCGCTTCTGCTTCCGCGACTCCGACAATCTGGTTTTCACTAGATCATAAGCGGAACGTAAGCGACGGAGTCGTAAGCGGAGTCGGAAGAAATGGAAACTTTCAATTCTGATTCTTCTGACTCCGATTCCGTCGCTCTTACGACTCCGCTTACAACTCCGACTCCGACTCCGACTCCTTCGCTAGTGAAAACCAGCCTTAAAAGGCGATTAATACATTTTATGAACGGAGCAATACTGAGTTCCATAGAAAGGACTCTACCATGCCATAATTGAACTTGCGAAACTATAACACAGTCAATACCATACCAGCAGATTTTTGTCATTTTTAGCGAAACTCCTGAGGTACGTAGTAGACTTAATCGTCCTTTGTCGAGACTGTCTGAACTATCTCTGATACAAATTAGCTTGCCTTCAAAGTGTTATGTTGAAATTGAATAATGTAATAATAGCAATACTAAGGCAATCTTAAAAACTGTTTAATGAACAAATCGGTTTCCTTTGGCTCAGTTTTTAGCTTTTCCGTGCGTATGGCCAGCGCTTAGGCCCGGAAGACTTGAAGCTTTACTATACTTCTAGGTATCAAGTATTTTATGGCGACATGTGGGAAACAGAACTGTGACTCAGTTTGCGCCTCGTTTGGTCTTCAATGTGCTGGAACAGGCCAGAGCTTTCCAAACTCATCTGCTTTATCCATATTTCAGTCTTTGGGAATAACTTGTGAAACAAGTGATTATACAGATTTTTACCACTACCGAGACCAACCAAATTATATATCAACTTTGGACGTTAATCTGCAGTGGGCTGGTAGATGCACTGGATTCAAGGCTATACCTAGTACTATTGACTGTCACACGGCTAACAATTCAAACGTTCGAAGGCTGTGCCCATGCCATAACTCTTCAGGTAGGCGTTGAATTATATACGTTAATAATACAGAAAATATACTATCCAGTCAGTCTACTTTGTCCGCACCGACGCGTAACTGTTAGTTTCTTATTTTCCTTCAGTTTCACCATGCATATAACCTCAGTTCTGGTTGATACGATATGTGCCTTTTATTGCATTTGCCTCCAGTGTTGAACTGTTATATTTTGCCTTCTAGTCTTCTCCGACGAAGACGAAGCACCGAGGGCACCGTCTTGCCTAATGTAAGGAAATCCAAGACCGTCTTGGATTTTGTATTCTACTTACCTGGAATCGGTATTTCTTGTCGGTGGATTCTGGATTCCAATCCTTGAGCTGAATTTCCAGTTATATGGATTCCACAAGCAAAACCCGGACTACCTTACATGAGGCGACACTGTCTTGCTGTGCTTCCACTTTATCTAAGTCTGTTGGATGTTAAAGGAATACCAGGGTGTAATAAATCTCTGGAATACCAACCCTAGTATACTTTCCTTGGGAATATCTGCAGGTGGCCGGACATAACCTCTTGATCTCCCTCCGGTGGCTGCCTGTGAACGGAGTATTAGTGGAAAATTGAGAAAAATTCAGCAACTCAAGTGAAGTCTGGTCCAAGCTAGATTTTTGGTGATCTTTAGTGCTAAGCAAAAATAGATATACGGATGTTTACTGTTTCATCATTATTTTCCTGTTTGATAGCTGTCCTTCTCCCGACGCAATCGACTGCAACAGAGACTACCAACAAAATAACAAACACTACCTCAAGAAGAATAGTAACATCCGCAGCTCAAACCAGGGCCTTACAAGAACATTCTACTGGAAACAATGCGCCCCATCGTCAAACAGAGAATGGGGATGACGCATATAAAAATGCTCTAATTGCGGTCAGCGTTATCTTAGCTGTTGTTTTGGTGATGTTCTTTGTGGTTCTGCTGTATCTATTCGTACAGCGGAGAAGAAAACATTTAAGGTAGTTTTATTCAGTTAAGGCGACCATGGTATCATGGTTATTTCATTCTAGATTTAGTCTGCTTTGTTCCCTTCGTTTCCCCATCGGAGTTGAACGCCCCCTTGTATCTGGACTGCTGAATTAAACGCCGTGAGACTACGGGCCAAAAAGGTCGTAATTTAACGTGTTCCGCTCCATTTGCGTTTAGAAATGAGAGGTTATGAACAACTTTGTAACTCTCCCTCGGCCCTTCTTTTGTAATCTCGATCATTTGCCTTATGCTTCAGCCGGTTTACGTAGCGATAAGTCTGGGCGTACAGTGGCTGACTGTAGCGTAAACTCGCTGTCTGTTTCTGTTGGCCAGTAATTTACTGGCTGATGTTTCTACTGCTCGTCACTTTTTCGTGGATGTTTTTTTTTATCAGCAAAGAAAAAAGAGACGCTGAGAAGAGCGATAATGGAAAGTGTCATGTTGAATATAACAAGACTGGAACTGGTACTTCAGATATGATGGACGGCTTAGCTGTAGTGACGGATGACGACAATAGGTGTGTTTTTGTCAATACTATTTTCAAAAAAAATCCGTAACATATTATAACTATTATAACGATTCACACAGCGCGCAGCTGTGTGTTATTCAGGGGTAAATTTGATAAAATGCCACTGTTTTAGAGTTTAACACAATAGCTAGACTTGTAAAGAACAGTAAACGTTTTATTAAACTGACCCCTGCAGGCTTATCGATCAAATGGTGCTCGTGGCCTGCGGAATTAGCTTAGAGCGCAGACTTGACAGAGCGGGATGACGGGGGTTCAGACTCGTACCCAGTCGCTTATCTGTATTCGCGCGGTGGTTAATGAGAAGGATTTGCCATGTGAGTTCGCAGCCCATCAAGGGAAGGAAGGAAGAAAAACACGAAGCTTTTCCACCTTTTTACCATATTCCTTTGAGAGAAGAACAGTAAGTATCGACTGGCTATGAATCTGACGTGGGTTCGACCCGTTGCAGTGGACCCATACAAGTTTTGAAAGAAATCACTATTTCGCGGCTGGTACATGCATGACCCACTATTCACGCAATTTTCAAACAGAGAACTTTTTTGTGGGTTTTAACTCCTTCATGGCCAGAATTTTGTTCATTTGTATTTAATTTGTAGAAATATCCATTATTTTCTTTAATTCACAGCTACTGTGGTCCGAGAAGTACCGAACTGTCAATTCCCAACTCGAGCGAAATGGAAGTCAAGATGCTGGCCGATAAACCCAGGTAAACCACATAATACAAAATTGTTGACAAAGTAGTTCCTTCATCATTTAAGCCTTCTGCAAGTACTTGCAAAAATTAAGCTTCTTTTTTTTTCCAGTAACAACAAGGACATGAATGAAAAATCCACTGATAACATTCTATACGTCAGGTAACATATTGCCTTCTTCTTTCTAAAGATCAGTATTTTTTTAAGTGAAAATGTATCACCGGCTTACTCTCTCCGGCTCCATGAAAAGGTTTAAAACACTCCCGAGACATTTTTGTACAGTGCAATTTATTTTTATTTTTTTATTTATTTGTTTGTTTCTACCAGCGGTTCTGATGGAGAATATACAGCGTTATCTAAAGACCACACTCCAACCACTTACGAAAGGTAAATTGATGTATCCTGACGGATGGTTTAAGTTATTCCCCTTGTTACTTTCAAAATATAAAAATTAAAACTGATAATGTTTTAAAACTGACAATGGAGGCCTTATGTGCCTACTGGCGCGACGAGACATAATGATGATGAAGAAAACTGACAATGACCTCCTCGGTACAGATTCAAAAAGACAGTAAGCCAGAGGTGTCTGTTTTTATTCATACGGAATTGTATGAAATTTCGAATTCTTTTCAATGAGATTCATTCAAGAACTATTCACGGCAGGGAAGAGAGTTGTTTCTCTTCCGCTCTTTGTAACTAGTATGATTTAATTTACTAATAAAAAGAACTTTTGATTCCTGATCCCATTCACACCGTTGGCATTAAATTCTCATAGGTGTATATATAGCTCTTATTATGACTTCTAAACCTCAGTCCCTTATATTTAAGTTAAAAAAAGAACAAAAGCAACAACAACTAACACGTCACAACTTTATATTAGCGTTTTGGTCTTTATCCTGGTAATCAATAGTCTTTTTGTAACGTTCAATAATGTAAAATACATATGAAAATCTAATTGTACGAGCAGTACTTTTTCATAAATATTGACTTTTCCCTTTTTGCTTTCAGACTGGTTTAATCTCTGTGGTAGTGCAGGCAGCACGAGTATACAACACTGACAACACGAATCCTTTTTATAGTTTTGCAGTGTTGCGAGACTTGATTTAGTTGTGTTTTACTTTTACTTACGATTTAATATTTTGCAAGTGTCTGACGTAAGGGGTGTTGGCAAGGGATAAGCCACACCTCTTCGAGACCTGAAACATCTTATTTTTTTCAGCTCTCGGTTAATTAAGTACTTTTTAGTACTTTAAGCGCAGTGTCTTAAGACTTATTGCTCGCATTAACGGAACACTAAGGTCAATTTACAGTAACTCAGTTAAACCTCGTCAATACGGACACTAAGGGGACTACAGAAAGTGTCCGTATTAAGGGGGCCTGAAATTTGAGTAAATGAAAGGTCTCTTCCCCGCAGGGACAAAGCAAACTGTCCGTAATAATAAGATGTCCGTAAAGCAGGGTGTGACTGTATAAGAAAATGTAGGATTAGAGTTTTTGCAAAATAACGCCTCATACAGGGGCGAGAAAAGCTTTTTAAAAAAACACACATGACACAGTCAACATTTCGCTTGAAGTTTTATTTACATTCATATCTGTACATGTATTTTGAAGATATGGTGATCCAAATACTGAGAACATCATATGACACTAAGTGCAAGGTTTTGCACATATTCTGCGAGATAGCTCACACTCGAACCGAGTCGAACATCGCCAAGAGAACTTGCTCACATGGCTATTCCAGCTGCTTGTTAATGAAAATCCTCATCCTGATTCCCTCTTGCCCTTGGCCCACTTTTAAGTAAATTACAATATCTTTGCTTCTTTATCACCAACGAGATAGGAAATAACTACACCATAATAGCATCGACATCAGCGTACTTGCTTCAGTAGCGTTTGTTATAGATGCAGTGGAACCTGTTTTTGTGCGATTATTATTCCATCTCCCGTTGATGTCAGGAGTACTTGGATTTAAGAACGTGGTAGTTCGCGTTGGAGCAAAACTATATGATGAACCCGTAGATAGCACTGAGGATGATGATGATGTTGATAATGATGATAATAATAATGATGATGATGACGATGACAACAACGATGATGATGATGATGGCGTTGGTGTTGGTGGTGGTGACCACGGCGATGAAGAA